GCCAGTGCAGAGGAGGAGGAAGGAGGCAAAGACAAGACATTGGCTCCTCCTCCTCCTCCACCTCCTCCATTGGTCTGGGAGCAGACGTTGGCATGTCGTGCTGCAGCTTTCTGTTTGTAGTGGTTACTGTGCAGCTTGTATTTCATTAGGAGGATGAAGATGAAGACGAGGACGGAGGCCACAATGATCCCACCGATGATGATGATCATGGTTCCTCCCAGAAACTGTTGATGAAGGTAAACAGACAGTCAGAAACACATGACTTTGTCATGACTCCTGCTTCTCCTCCTGACACTCACCTGGTCTCGTATGGAGTGGCAGCGTCCGTACTCCGACTCTGTGCTGAAGGACACACAACCCACCAGTTTGGTGCCGGTCAGGGTCGTGATACCGTCATCATACACGGCCAGAACACACAGTTCGTAGTCCCGGGAGGAAGCCAGGTCACTGAGCAGGAAGTACTTGTGATTGGCTGGAATCATCCTGGACGAGAAAAAAAAACAAAACGTGACTTTTTATTTCAGAACTTTACTCTTCCATGCTCTCAGCTCAGTCTGTCTGATGTGACTGTTTTAGTGACACAAATAAATAACAGAGTCAGCCATCACTGATGAATGTGGTGAGGGAAGGTTGGAGCAGTGGAGTGTGCTACACGTTTAGTTTTCTATGAAAATGCAGACGGAGGACAGAGTGGGCAGGTGGTGCTGAGAGGAGCCAGGAAAGAGAAAGGGCAGAGCTAAGAATACATAGAAAAGAAATGACTTAGTTGAACAAAAGTGAATAGTTTTTGTCTGTAGGGGGCGCTTTAGCTCTCTGAACTGATCTGAGTGCAGATGGTGATGGAGAAAAGGGGGAGCAATGGAGAAGGCAAAGAGAAGGAGCAGTGCTGCAGAGAGGGTGAGGCGGTGTCGTCTGTTAATGTGAAGTGAGTGAAGCATCATGGGAACTATGCCCAGGATTATTCACACTGGAGTGGTGTGAAATAGAAGCAGTGAATATGGAGGCATGAAGCCCTGACAGAGGTTGGATCCCTACAGGTGGAGAGACGTAGGTGAGTCTCTGTGATTGGCTCCTTACTGATCACATGACAGTGGTCAGAGGAGAGAAGCTCACAGCTGCTTCTCCTGTCAACGCTGATTCAGGGTAACCACGGAGGACTGTGTGCATTAGCTGCAGTTCTGCATTCATTCAGAGGGGGTCATCAGTGTGAACCGGGGAGGTCAGGGTCATTCACTTTCTAACATTCATTCCTTTTCACAGCACGAAGCAGTAGAGGGCGGAGCTAAACTATGGACACTACATTTACAACAGGATTCACAGAGACTAACCCCACACACACAGGGAGAACATGTGAACTCCACACACATTAGGCCCATGACTATTTATTTCAGCAAAACTCCTGCAGTTTGTTGTTGGTTATGTTTGCAGAAGAAACACGAAGGTCCTCGACGTGGACCCTAACCTCAGGTCTGAGCATGGGACAGGAAGAAATCACCTCAGTGTTGTTTGACCTCCAGACTGTGGTGTCAAACCAACAAACACAGGGAAATATAATGTGTTGGTGTTTCATCAGTCAGCAGGTGGCGCTGTCAACACAGTTCATGTCTGTACTGAACACAGTGCCAACATAAAAGACAATGTGATGACAACAGCTGTTGATGTGAAACACAGTCTCACAACTGGACAACATGATGTCACACCTGTACCTGTTGACAGCTACAACCACAGCTATAGCTACAGCCAGTAGTTGTGCACAATGTCGCACTCATGTGGTCAAAAGCAGCAACAGCAGCAGCAGCAGTGACTGACTCAGGGCCACAGATCAAAGCTGTTTTCTCACCCTAGACCCTGAGTACATGGACACATCACATGACGCGGAGACATCACAGTAGTTCTCTCATCTGCAGACCTGACCTGGAGAACCATCTGTCTAACTTGAAGGAGTCTTCGCTGCCACCCATTGGTCCACAGTTGTAAGAACCTGCTCAGGTCCAGTCTGTGGTGATGGTTTTAGACACTGAACGCACCTCTGTTTTCAGATTCATCACAGATTTTAGGTCATTGACACTGACTGTCATCTGCTTCACTTCCAAATGTAACCACTCACTGAGTGATGTTGCTAGGCAACAGTGCTGGCTGATGGGACCATACAATATTGGCTGTGCTGATAGTTGGTTAAAATAGGCTCTGGTCTGCTGTTAGCCACCTCACGTCTCCAAACACCTCACATGTGCAGATCATGTGACAGGAGGAGGTTGGTGACCCCTAATGATCTCTGACCTCCTTATGAAGCAGCATGTTTAAATAACTCCTAGGATCTTTATATGTTTTCATTTTTTTAATTTCACATTTTACTGCAAATTACAGCTCAGATGGGACTGAAATAAAACAAAGTTTGTTTGATGTTGTCTGTCATCTATGAGGATCCTGGTTCATTTGGACTGGTCCTGGGGCCTGGTTCTCATGTGATTTAGGAAGACTCTTCTGTCTAGGACTAAGAACTTTACTTTAATTAACCTCAACTTGACCCAAACGGACTATTTTCATTTGATCTGCACCTGAATTCAAACCAAATCAGATTATTCTTTTTGAAACCCGTATCCCTAAGGTCATACCTGTATATGAGAATGTCGTCCGTGGAGCTGTTGTACTGGATCTGGTACATGCGGACTCCTGGGATGTGGTTCTGTGGCGGCCATCTGATGGTGGCAGAGCTGGACGTGAGGTCTGACACACTCACCCTCTGCTGCTCGGCACGCACTTGACCTCCGCTAACGTTGGACTTGATGGATGTGGGAATGTCTGACGGCCCCGGGTCCAGGTCCAGTTTAGGGTCATAGTGTGGTGAAGGGTTGACCACCAGCTCGACCGGGGCAGTTGCTTCCCCGGCGGCATTGGATGCAATGCAGGTGAACTTTCCAGAATCCTAAAAAAAACAACAAAGTCTTTCTGTGTCAAAGTGTCACTGAAGTCACGTGACCACATTTCTAATCAACCCAAGCTCTACCTTCACAGAAGCTTTCAGGATGTCCAGTGACCCGTTTTCATAGCAGACGGTTCTGGACGTGTTCCCAATGAGCTTCCCATCAGGGCTGACCCAGTGGGTTGAAGGCTCAGGATCACCAACAGATTTGCAGCGCAGGCTGACCTCCTGACCTTCCATCACAAACATCTTGGAGGTGTGACGTGTGATCATTGGCGGCTCACAGACAAACTCCTCCTGCAGAGAAGAGTTGGATGTATTTCATCTGATAGAGTCGTGGGTTATTGTGACATAATCCAGCCTAAAATAAGGATAATAATAATCTGTGGCCCAGACGTCTTGGTCAGTTTTTCAGTTGAAGCTGAAGCTGCTCTGACTCTGACCCACAGACCTGGGCTCGACCTCTGCTCCAGACTAATCCTCTTACAGTGATCACTGATGAATGTTTCTGCAGGTCTGAACATCATCTTCTCTGATGTGGAAACCTACTACACTTTAATGTTGGGGAGAATGAGCTTCTCATTTTCAGCTTCAGAAAAGTTGTTTTTTTTTTTCAATAAAAACAAAAATATTTTTTCTGTATCGCCTGAAGTACCACTTCAGGCTAAACTGATGAAACTGTTTCTGTGAATGTGTGAGGTTCTCTGACCTCACAGCTACTAACCTCTCTGATGGTCCAGAAATATTTTCCAGCCAGATCTTTTGGTGAGGCACATGTTTCCAGGTCGTCTTCTCTGGTCAGTCGGCGGAGCCACACCAGCTCACAGTTACAGTGTAATGGGTTTCCACCAAAACTCAGAACCAGAGCCGTGAGAGGAGAACCTTTCATCTTAGCGTAGACTGGGATCCGCAGGAACAGAGGGTCTGGAGGAATCTTCTTCAGTTTGTTTGACGTCATGTCCAGTCTGCAGATGGAACAACAGAGATGAGAGAGCACAGAGATAGATGGATGGATGGGTGGATGGATGAAGAAGAAGACAACAGCGCCTCCCTGTGACACTCACCTGGCCAGTTTGTGCAGGTTGGAGAAAATCCCCTCCGGTACACTCTCGATCAGATTGTGGTCCAGACTCAGTGTGTTGACACTGACCAACATGGCCATGGTCTCCCAGGGGACGTCCACCAGGTTGTTGTAGCTCAGATCCAAGTCTTCCAGGGTTTCCAGGAAGTCCTGGAGAGAGATAAGGTGTCAGGGTCATCACCATGACAGTTCGTCATTCAAACAGGCATTCAACTGGTCCCCACCAGTGACGGTGGTGTGCAGCAGCGGCTGTACCTGGAAGGCTCCCTCTGATATACTGTGCAGCTGGTTGTTGGCCAGAATCAGGTGCCTCAGATTCACCAGGCCCTGGAAGTGGGAGTCGTCCAAGGTGGTGAGGCGGTTCGCATCCAGGTGGAGAGCGTGGAGGTCCTGGAGGTCGGCGAAGGCGTAGGGTAGGATCTGACTGATGGTGTTTCTGCTCAGGGTTAGGTGGATCTGAGAGGAAAGAACATGTTCAGAACCAGGTGCACTACTGTTGTACCACCTGAGATCAAAGGTCAACAGTGGAATTGTTACTGAAATAATAATAATAATTTCAGAGCAGCTCTGACCAGACTGGTCATGTTGGCAAAGTCGCGGTGCCTCAGTGATGTGATGAAGTTGTCCATGAGCCTGAGCTCTGCCGTCTGACGGTCGATGTTGGGAGGAACAAACAGGAGGCCTGTCTTGGCACACAGCACCGTGTAGGAGGGCAGCAGATTCTGGCAGGTGCAGCGTTTAGGGCAAAGCATGCCGGAGATGCGGGTGGGGAGGGAGGACAGGAGAACCATGAAGAGGAGGAGGAGAAGGAGGGGAAAGCAGACGTCCATGGCTCCTCTCCTGCTGTAAAAGAAACGGAAACATGAAGAATTGATGACTGTGATTGTTTTTCTTTCTTGGAGAAACAAAAACTGACTTCACTGACACTTGGTTTAGTTTTAACCCCACTTGATGAGAGAAGGAGGTCAAGAGGTCAAGCTCTACCAGGAGCTCCTTCTGTGATGTCACCGAGACTCGGCTGATGTGTTTGATCAGTGAACTTCAAGTCTGCTGCTCTAAAAACCTTGGTGTGAAAACTGGGCCAGCACTGGAGAGGAGGTTTTGTTGTTTGTGTGAAAATGTCAGCGTTCAGATGTTGTTGTTGCTCTAATGCTGCTGGGACTCCACACTAAACAGGTTTAAGCCAGAATAAGCTGCTGCCGTTCTGGAGAGGGAGTCAGCCAAACGAGGTGTTTCCTTTTCACCATTAAAACTGGATTTAATCAGAAGGTGACTGACGTCTAACCACTGGCACGCCTGACAGGAAGTGACCGTGACACGATGAGATTGAAGTGTACGATCGAGGAAAACACTGTCATTATAAACTGTGCCTCATCAACTCCACTGGTTGCTGGAGAACCGAGCTGACAGCAGCATCCCTGTGTGGTTGTAATGAGAATTACAGTCAAACAAAATGACATTTCAATAAGAGGCCCAGTGTCAACCACCCATATTCTGCTATTCTCTGGATTCTCTCAATCCACTGTAATCCATTGTATTTCATCATAATCCACTCTAATCCTACATCCGTTAGCATGTCATTAGTAGCGTTCCATAAACCCTGATCCGGACCTGCAGCCTCTTCATCACAGAGATCCCTCTTGAAAAGAACTCTTTAACACCATCCATTCACACCATCCATTCACACTAACTTACCAGCAGGCGGTTCCTGGAGTCTAACAGACGTGATCCCTGGACAACTGTTCTCAGACTAATGAGACAAATGTCTCTGTCTAAGAGTTTTATGTCTTTGATTCTCTCCCTTCAAAAACACTTTTCATTTATAAACCAAATGAGTGCTCGTGTCAGAGGTTTGTCCGGCCTCGTCCTGATGAAGCTCACTGTTCAGACAGATGGATGAGAACCCTGTCCTGATGGAGGAGTCATTTGACTGGACCTCCACACAGAGTGAGGAAATGATAAACAGCTCTGGTTCTGCCTGACATGGGTTTAATGTTGGTTCTCCTCGGGCCTCTCAGAACCCCTGCTCCCAAACGTAGTATCAGTTGGTACTGCAGTAATGATACAGTAGCTGCGTCATTAGTACTTTTTACAGCTTGGCTCAAAGGTGTTTTCTTTCTTTATGACTCTGTAAATGAGGACTGGTCAAAGTGCAGCTGGTCCAGGGATGGTCCTGCACATGAGGAGAGGCAGACGAATACTGTCAGAAAAAAAACAAAAACCACCACCACAACACAGTGGAGTTTTTAAGGTTATACTTACGTCAGTGAAAAAGGTACAAATGAAATGAACCTGTGAATCCGCCGAGGCCTCTGCTAACAGATGAGCTCATTTACATCCACCCTCAGGTGAGAGCAGGTGTAGAAGAGTGGAACGGTGGAGGAAAAATGGGGCTGACTGACGGACTAGATCATCACACCTCTGATAGAGTGTTCTGATGATGATGATGATGATGATGAAGATAGTGTTGATGTGTCAGGATCTTCTCTGCATTGACCTTATTCTGGTTTTAGAGGACCGTCCTCATTTTCCCAGTGTGACAACAATAATCAACTTACTGAACGACCACAACCACAACCATAAACAAAGTTTGTCTCAGGGAAGTGCTTCTTTTTCACTTCCACATTATTTATGGAACATTTTTCCCATTCTTCTTGTTATTTAGGTGGAGGTGAGTAGGGTTTCTCCTCCACCCTGCGTGTAATGGTGCCAGCTGTAATCCCAGTCTCTGGGGAAGATGATTCCGCTGAGCAGCATGGTTGGGGTCTGGGGTCAGCAGGGTGAAGTGAAGCTCTGATGATTGACTGCTGGGACACGTCCCCGGTGCCTCTACACCTCCAGACACCGTCAGGATGGTGGTGGTGTGCAGTGACTTTACAGCGCAGACACAGCTGAGTGAGCAGACTGTGTTCTGCTGAAGGCAGAGGACACATCATCAGTGTGATGGTGTCATTATGGAAGAGAGAAGGAAAATGTTTGTGGTGACGTAAAAAAAAATGAATCGGCAAAAAAGCAGGCTGATGAAAAAACATCAGGGAATGTGTGGAAAATAAGAGAAGAAAAGAAAAAAGACAAACCGAGAGGATGTGGTTGTGTTTTTATCAATAATCAATAACTGAGAACCGGACTCTCTCATCAGACCAACCTTTGATCATTTCAGTCTGAAATATGAACCGACTTCAACATGATCAGTGTCAACAGGGTGAAACTGCGCCTCACAGTGGTTACATTGTTTCTTTCATCCATGTTTCTCACTGATTAAGAAGTTTTTATTTTAGCACTTTGTTTTTTAGCTTTTTCCTGTGAAAACCTTCACTGGTCGTCAGTGTTCTGACTGCAGTGAGAGCTTCAGGGTGGGAGGAGACTGACGGACAGGCGCCGCTCAGTTCAACTTACACTATCTTCAACTCAGAACAAATGAACCAAAATACATGTGGTGAGGATTTACGTCACTAGTCTGCCTGGTGTTGACCCCCTGACCACACAGCAGTGTGTCATGGTGTTGTTCAGTGACAGTGTAGAGCTGACTTCAGTCGTGTCTTAGCTCTCAGGCTAACAACCACACTTGAACTTTTTCTCTGAATTCAAATTCCCAGGATCAAAGGACGATGTTTCATGTTGTTGGGAACCATCGTCTGCTTTCTTCACTGGAAAAGGCTCAAATTTGATGACAGCTGAAACTTTCCACAGTCCTGTGTACCGCTGCCACACAAATACTACTACAGTGTGAATATACAGTTTGGTTTTGACTCCTGAAAAATGTCCCCACAAGTACAGAGGGTCCCCACAAGCATTTTACCCCCCCCCCCCTCAACCACACACACACACACACACACACACACACACACACACAGACAGCTAGTGGTATCCTCAAGTCACCCTGTCAAACCTGCAGTGGCGTTGATGTATGGCAGGGCAGGATTTCCATAAAGCAGATTTATGAAGACGTCTCTGGCTCTGGGTTTAAACCTTTCAAGCAGCTTCTCATAAAACTGTCACGTGACACTTTCATTTTTCTGTGGCAGAAAGAGAAGGAGTTCATCACCTTCTTCTGCTGCTGCACCGCCGCAGACGCTTCATTACTTCAGCCATTTCAAGTACATGACTGGATTCCAGAGGAGGGCTCTAATGAAGGAGTCACCTCTGAGAAGGAAACTGGGTTTGTTCTCACCTGGCAGGTTCAAATCAGCAGCACAGGGAAAAGACTGAGGCACGAAGGAGCAGGAGACGGGGCTCAACCACTGGGTCCCTGAGCCACATGTGGTACCAGACTGATAACAATATCAGTTTATGGACGAGGTTGACTTTTTATGTGCAGTGTAAATATTAAATATTATTTGAATGACATTTATGTAAAAACATCAGAAGATGACGTGCTCATGGGATGGTTCATTCTAGAGGACGTTTGAATCACAACCAACTCGTCCAATGGGAGCCTGAAACAGTGCAACATCAACAACAGCTGAGAGGAGAGTATCAGCTAAACAACAAGGCCCCCTGCAGGTCAACAGAGGAATGGTTTCTGAGTTCCCTCCAGACTGACACCTTCAGTATTTACACTCAGTCGTTGTGTAATCAACCCCAGAGTTCTTCTTGGAACGTCCTGTTGTTTTTTGAATAAATAATGAATCACTTCCTGTTGCATCTTTAAAACGCGTGGACGCCGGAGAATAAAACACAAAGACAGCCAAAACCAGACAGGCCATAAAAACAGATCCCCCCCACACACACACAACCTGAAAAAACACAGCCACAGAAAACAACAACAAGTTCTGATCCACAGCCAGGACCAAAGGTCAGGGAGCCGACGGCCGTTTGAATAACTACAGAGGAAGGAGCATCTCTGATCCTTTCTATGTTTACATCATGTTGTTAGCCTCACCCACCAACACACTTGACCTCAGTTCTCCTGTATGTATGACCCCTGACCTCAATGGTTAAGTACACACCAGAACAAAGTTACAGTGACAAAGGTCAATGTTCTCACAGATGGGTTAAAAGGTCAGAGGTGAGAGCAGGTGCTGTGAGAGGGCAGCAGCTGATTAGAGACACAGTGGTAGGTTACAGTAATGGGTGTCAGGGCATGGAGGGAGGGGCTTCAGTGTCTGAGCTGTGACCAGTCTGTAACAGGCAGTCTGTCCACAGTCAGTCTGTAACAGGCAGTCTGTAACAGTCAGTCTGTCCACAGTCAGTCTGTCCACAGTCAGTCTGTCCACAGTCTGTCTGTCCACAGTCAGTGTATTTTAACTGTGTTGACAGAGGGACAAAAACACCACAGCATATTTGGCCCCCAGAAACAATTCTTCTTTGACTTGACAGTCCTTCTCAGAGGTCACTGACCTTTAGTGGACCGTGGATCTAGGTGAACCTGAGTCAGCAGAATTTTTTTTATCTTGTTTTTTCCGGGAGGAAAACTTTAAAAATCAGAGTGATTTTGCTGAGCAGTCTCTGCTGTTTCCTCACTGATTACAGATGACTTCTGATTGTGTCTCATTGACTTTGGAGGAGTACCAGATCTCACACACACACACACACACACACACTGACTGACTGCGGCAGGGTAAACTGCTGATGAAGAGGAGATAGGGAAAAGATGCTAAGTCATGGAAAAACAGCGTCCAACAGAGGAATTTTACAGTGGACCAAACTGAGGCTGAACGACACTCGTCTACAGTGGATTTTCAAATGAAAAGTTAATAAAAAATTGAAAATTTGCACCGTGGTTAAAAAACCCCAAAACAAAGCCAGCAGAGAGAATTGAGCAGATGTTCACTGTGGTTGGATGAAAGACAAATGAGTAGAATATATTTCCACTTCATCACTCAGGTCTACAGATGTTGTCAGCAGTGCCTTCTTCAAACTACAGTCGTTCCATTGGTGAAGATCATTGTTTTAAACAACAACTACTGACACTGACTCTGCAGATGTTCCTGTTGTGACTGACTGACTGACTGACTGTGTCTCTGCTGCTGTTAAATGTGTTTATTTCCGTGGATGGTTGACTTTTGCTCTTCATCATCATCATCTTTATCAGCAGTTCACACACAGACTCTGTGTGCTGTCAATTAATTCACGTCCAATCAGGACACAGCGCAGATAAACTGCCTGGTCAGGAAGAAAGGGATTTTAAAACACTTTTGTTTTGGTCGTCTGTTTCTCATTTTCTGTCTGTTATCTTCCAATGAAACGAAATTACAGAAACAACTGTAAAAATAACAGCATCACCATAATAATCAGGGCGTCCTGCTTCTGAGGGAGATAATGAGCCCTGTGTGTGTGTGTGTGTGTGTAAATACACAACAACAAAAATGACCCACAAACTCTTTAGAAACAACAGTGAAGATGACAACCTGACACTCAGAGTGGAGAGAAGAATCATGGGTAATGAGAAACACACAGTTATGATTATAAAAAACAAAGATTAAATTTGAAGGCACCGTGAAGTGGTCTGAGTGTCCTGTTACAGTTAGGCTTCAAAATCAAACAATCAACAACATTTCATGTCAACGCTGCAGTTGTTGTGTCTGCTGAGCTGAACAGTCTCCCTGACTTGACCTCTGTGTGACCCCTGTCAGCAGAGACCACAGGCACCGGGGTTTGGACAACACAACCAAACAATTAGCAAAGGTGAATGGACATGACAGTCCCAGATGACTTGAGTTTAATTATCAATTCTTAATGTTTACATATATTGTATGATTGTCTGAACCATGAACACTCTGTGGTCCACAACCCTCTGGTTGAAACACCGACTGAGGAACACATGGCTGATAGTAGAGAAACTTAAAGCTTTGACCTTCACATGTATAGTAAATAAACAACAATGAACAAATAAAAAATAGATAAAGTCAAACCCACCTGATGGAGGCGTGTCTCTGATGGAGGCGTGTCTCTGATGGAGGCGTGAGGAGTGACGTCGAGTGACGACCAGAAAGAGAGGAATCTGTGGAAAAGTGGGAGGAGGAGAGGAGAGGAGGACGAGACAAACACACACATAGTCATTGATTTGTCCACAAAAAAAAGTATATCTTATATTTCCTGTCAAAGAGTTTCTGGATTTCTTAACTCATGAAAACCAGACTGTGTGTTGGCAGAGACTGAAGGCTGGCAGATGGTCAGAGCTAAGTCTCTACTGTTGGTCCCTCAGCTTATCTTCCTCCCCTCCTCCTCTCTGTGTGTGAATTGTTGGGAAGAGACAGAAATATCTCTCGGTCTGATATAACGGCACATCTTCTCAGTGACTCTCTGTGATCAGGGTAAAATCTGAAGATGTCTCTGATTACACCACAGTCGTCACACAGACACACACAGAACACAGCCCCCCCCCCCCCCCCCCCCCCCCACACACACACACCCACAGAAACCTGCAAAGGAAAAGAATGGAAGGATGGAAAACACAAAAGATGTAAATGATAGTCTTTAAAAACCTGCATCATACGCATCAGTAAATGATGATCAAGCTCTGGTTCTCCTTCAGCCTCCAAGACTTTACTCTAATCTTCTGTTCATCGGCCTCTGGTTGAGTCCAGAGAATCTTCTGAGTAAAGGATCAATGTAAGAGATCAATTGATTTACAAGTATTGATCAGGACTCGGTGATACACTAATTATTCATGTAGTGAGAATGAATCTGCAGCTGATGGTCAGTGCAGGTGGATTAGAGAAGGCTGTGTGTGTGTGTGTGTGTGTTTGTGTGTGTAAACATCTGAGTCACAGCACGGTGGACTGACCACCACTGAGTGAAGGGAGAGAAACAGGGTCTCAGTGTCTCTGTCCTGACGTTAGCTGCTGCTTCACAGGTATATATGTTATATAAACATGACAGAGGCTGATGATGATGATGATGATGATGATGGAGGTGATGGAGGTGATGGTAATAATATTTCTAACAGTAATGTAATATGTAATGTTACATTACATCGTCACCATAAACAGTTTCTAACAGTAATGTAATATGTAATGTGCTGTTTATGGTGACGATGATGATGAATTATATTTCATTAGGAAGTTGTTTCTGTATTTATCAAGTTGAATTAAATCCAAACAAGCAGGAAAAGATGTAGAAAAAGAAATCTTGCTGCTGTCTGCTGCATTCCCACACACAAACAGAAAGAGAGAGAGAGAGAGAGAGAGGAGGGGGGTGGGAGGTGGGGGTGATGCTGCAGAAATAAAACAGAGTAATAAATGCAGATAAAAACCTGAAGGGAGGAATAAATAGAGAGAAAAAGGTTCCAGTGGAGGCTGGGGGAGGAGCAGAACAAACATTTGTTTACTGAGGCATTAATGTTTGATCCTGGCTGTGAGGGGGGAAACAGAGAGAGACGGAGGAGATGAAGGAGAAGGAGGTGATGATGATGAGATACAAGGATGAGCTGGGATTGTTGATTTTTTCTTTTGGTTCTTATTGTGTCTAAAAATATGTGTTGACTGTGGCCTCCTGCAGCCCACCTCCCACTCTGTGCTGCATGTTTATCCTTCATCAGTAATCACTCCAGCCTGAGCCTCAGTCCGTGCTGCTGCTCTGCTCCAGCAGGTCACAACATACACTTACAATCAGAGGAGTACAGTCAGAACGGCACAACGCTAGAGTTCAGGGCAGGACACAAACCTGGTGAAATCTGACCCCTACTGGACAGTAATGCTACAGAGGCCTGACCGTCACTGAGACAAGTGGAATAAATCACAACGGAGAAGTTCAATTTCAGGTCTTTTCAGGTTCTAAATGGTCACAATTCAAATGTGAGTGAAGAGAAATCTCAACACTGTGATGTTGATATAAACATCACAGCACTCCACTGTGGCTGAGAGTGTTCCTCAGTGTTCCTCAGTGTTCCTCAGTGTTCCTCAGTGTGGGTCACAGCTGAGGATCGGATCATGACAAACACTGTGGCTTAGACAAAGCTTTTGTTAGAATGCAAACTACACACAAGGCCACACACACGTCTTCACAGAGAACTGGAACAAACCTAGCAGACGACATGAAGGAGAAGACGGCCTTCATGTCGTCCCACGCCCACAGTGGAGAGTTTAAAAAAAAAAAACTAACAAAAATATTATTTCTTTTATCCTGTTAAGGTTCGGATTATTGAAACATTCATGTTCTCTTTTTTGTGTTTTTCTTTTTCAGAATTATAATTACAACAGACAAAACTAAAATATGTTGAAATGTTTTTGTGTGTGAGACTGTAGTAACACTGCAGATCTGTGAGGTCAAAGGTCAAGGGAACATTTAGGAGTTTACTAAAAGTGTAAGATAATGTGCAGATAATGTAAGCACAGTGTGTGTGTGTGTGTGTGTGTGTGTGTGTGTGTGAAGATGCTCAGACAGGCAGACTAATCTACCACAGATGGCACTAGCTCTGTGGCTCTGTGGTGGGGTAGAGTGGGGGTAGAGTGGGGGTAGAGTGGGGGTCCAAATCTGTCTCATGCAGTGAGAAACACCCAGGAAAAAAGTGTGAAAAAGAAAATGTTTGTCATTTGTCCAATCATTTTCTTTTCTCTGCTGGTGCGTTGACATTTGGCTGCTGCTGCATTCACTCCTCCAACAACAGTGCACTCATTCATATTCATCAGACCAGGCCACAGCCTCCTGTCGGCCTCAGCAGGCAGTCGCTGCTGAAGTGATTGGATAATAACACAAAATGGAAAACCAAAAAAAACGGTGATAATGGTGATCACATGAAAAGGCTCTCAGCGGCTAATTCAGGGCAGTTACATTTTATAAAACAGGCTAAGCTAACAAAAATATACAAATGTAAGCACATGAGGTCATGTGACAAACACTCCACACCACAAAACAGAGCCAGCAGCAGGAAGAGGTCGGCGTTCCTGTGGGTGTCAGTGGAATGTGGTTTGTTCAAAGATCAGAGGTGGTTTGTTCTAACATCTCATCTGACTGACTGAGACTGCAGCGAAAACACAGACAGTGGAGGCTCTGGTTGGTTGTTTGTTTGTTTGTTTGTTTGAGAAAATAAAGTCATGGCAACAGAGAAAACCCTGAGCTGGGAGCTGTTAGAGAAACACTAATGAAACCCCTGAGACTTTTATTCTGAAGAACACTGCTGCTCACCACACACACACACACACAAATGACTTTTTAGCTAACTTATTTAGTGTCCATGACTTATGTTAAGGACCAGGGGTCAAAGGTTAACCTCTGTCATCATCATCATCATCTTCCTCACACAAACTGATGGCTCTCATCATCTTCCTCACACAAACTGATGGATCAATGGATGAATGAAATGATGTAGTTCTCTAACTTCACCAAATCACTGAAAATAATTTCACAAAGTCAGAATATTCTGAGAATCCATGTCACGTCAGTTAGTACATTTATATGAACAAAGTCAAACCAGGTCACACCAAGGTGAGGTGTGAGTGAACAAACACCACCTCCCTGTGGTTGGAGGAGATGATGGGGCTGTGTGTGCCTCCTGGTTCTCCTCCTTCATTAGATTAAAAGATGTCTCCACTGACTCTGTTTCCTTAACTTCCACACACAGCTCCAGGAGCACAGTGACAGCTCTGACTTATTTCCTAATGTAAACGGAGTCAACGGCAGAAGAAATGGAGCCACACCTCCTCAATTATTCTAGTCATCCTCCCAAAGAGCCTCCTCCTCCGTATGAAGCCTGTGTGTGCAGCAGCAGACAGTCACGACGACAACAGCAGAACCTCACGTTACTTCATGTAAATCCAGGTGTAATGACAGGTTCGACTTCTGAAGCCTGTTAGAACCCCAGACACTGGTGTCACCGAGCGACAGTTGGAGCAGAGGGAAATCCAAAAACACATTTGATCCCTGCACGTCTCAACAATGACTGCTGACGTTTGGTAGAAGCACAAACACCGACTGGTGTGGCTGACAGCAGTTTTCTAATGAGCCCTCAGACGCTCAGAGAAAAGCAGAGCTAAGATGGACGTGTGAGAGGGTCAGAGGAGACAGAGACAGATGAGACAGAAGAGACGGAGGAGACAGAAGAGACTAATCAGTGACAACAGAACAGAAGAAACATGAGTGAGGGGAGGAATAACTGTTCACTAATGTGACGTGAAGATATTCTTCTCCATGTCTTCAGTTTTTATTTTCTCTTTTATATATATATCCATATATATATATAGTGTATAGATGACGTTGGACTTCAGTCCTGCTCTTCTCTCAGGCAGAATTCCACAGAACGTTTAGTGACGGCTGTTGAAGTGAACGGGGATTCAAAGCTGTAACTGACCTCTTTCAAAAGCGTGGGGGCGCTGTCCTCACAGAGCAAGAATCACCACTGTCACACCCCAGGTTTGTTTGTGTGTGGTTGATGGATCCACACACCAACATCTGCTGAAGAGAATGTTCTGGAAGTTCATTCTATCCATAAACGTTTGCTGGTGTCTGGACAGAAAAAAAAGAAAAAAAAGAGTTCAGGAGTGTGTAAAGAAATGAGAGAAGTCCAGGATGAGGAGAAGCAGATAAGAGAGGTCAGAGGTCAGAGGACCTCTGGAAATGGCCTGAAACAAAAAAAAAATACAGCTGACAGGAAGTCAGGTGTGCAGACAGCACTCATTCATAACACTATCATCCTTATGGAGACAAGTTTTCACTGTCCTGGTCTGACCCTGACTCCAGTAACTCCCTACTCCCCTGCAAGCAGTGCAGTTGCCCCCTAGTGGCCAACGTCTACACTCCAAATTCACATTGACTTCAGAGTGTTGAGCTATGGGCCTACACTGTCTGTGATTGGCTGGAGAAGACAAACAGCAGACATGACGACCGCCACACCTCTCAATTACTGTGTACACACTCCACACACACTCTAATCCTTTCATTTACTTCCTCCGTGCCACCGTCCAAACCTGAGCCCTGCATCAAACAGAACCACTTCACACCTGAAGAACCACACACTGTTTGGTCCAGATCCACCAACCTCCTCCACTCACACCACTCCAACACTGAGACGCTTATTCAAACCTGCTGCAACCTGGAAACTGAAGAACAGGGGAGCGGTGGTGTGAGCTGATAAGGATGAAGGGGACAAAGGCTGCTACACGGGGGGGAGGCGGACAGAGAGAAAGAGAGAGAGAAACACACACGTAGAAACAGTCAACATCGGTGTCCACATGAGGTACAGTTGTGTTTTCTGTTGGGTTTTTTCCTTCTCTCTATGCCGACGACACAATAA